GCACTATAATATGATAGTTTGTAAGTAATACGGAACCATGTCGAAAATATTCCAACACAAATATATAGTGTTAACTAATCTAAATACAACGCAATACGATATATTACGATAGTCCGTAAGTAATACAGAAAATTTTAATCAGAAATGAGATAATATTCTAATTACGTATTAACCAATTCGATACAATCACCATATTATGATAGTGAGTAAGTAATACGAAATTAGAAAATTTTTAAATCTGTAATGTTGATAATATTCCAACACGAATAAATAATATTGACCAATCCACCTACAAAACAATGCACTAAAATAGTTGGTAAGTAATCAAAATTAGAAAATTTTAAATCAGAAATGTCGATAATATTCCAGCATAAACAACACAAAATTAACTAATTCACATATAATACAAAACATTATATTACAATAGTAAGTAATACGGTAAAAGAAAATTTTAGTGCGGTTTGCAAAATTTTGTGAAATTTGCAAATCATTAAAAAAAGTGATCACTAAGAAATCACACGATTTTCTGATTTCTTAAAACTACCCCGATATCTAGATTTAAAACTCTCATATCGGAGTAATTTTAAAAATCAAAATCACCTAATAATCGAGCGATTTTTTTAGTGATTTCTTTTTTTTTTTTTTGATCTGCAAAATTTTGCGAACCTTTATAAATCAAAATGCGATAATATCACAAATAACATCATAATATTAACCAATCCACTATTACGATAGTTCGTAAGTAGTACTGAATTAAAAAATGTTAAGTCAGAAATGTTGACAAAACCACGCGAAGTTAATTTTTCGTTTTGCATTACATGGAATCTGAAATTTGGGTCAGGCGATCGTTTTTATTCTGTTTCATCAGGTGACACTAGATAAAATGTAGGAAAAAATAAATGGCAAAAAATAGAACTATTTGTACAATTGGAATTTAAATTGAAAATGCATACGAAAAATTAAGGGAAGATTGAAGAATAAGTACCCCGTGATATTTTCGTGGTCATCACATCACAAGATTAAATTACTCGGCCTAAATTAGAGTTAGGGTTAGGGTTAGATGATAGTATAGTTTAGGCCGATTTGTTAGTGCGAGTAAACAAATGACGTCATTACATGATTTCATGTGATGTGATGATCACTGGGGTACCTATTCTTCAAGTGTCCCCCGAAGGTTTTTATGAGGCACAAATTGTAGACAATGACAATCATGATAGTATATTTGGAGGTGCAAAGAATAGCACTCCTGAAGAAGAAGATGCAATTATTATCGAAATTTCAAACTTGAAAAAGGATATAAAATACATTGCACGAGTAAGCAAGACTGTACACAGAGAGGATCCTACTAAATATATATCTAGCATTTGGCAATTTTCGAACTTGATTACAATATAGTGTTAAATTTTCTTCAATTGTGATTATGAAAATTTCTTATTATTCTAACATTAATTTTATTTATTATTTATTTGGACACACTTTAATAAAAATAAAAATATTTCTTTTTCATTTATCCAAGTTTCAAACATGAAATCCCAATACAAGTTTTGCTTTCCATCTTTAAATAAATTATGCAAGATAGTGTAGTTTTAATTAAAAATTTTAATAGCATGAGCCCATTAGAATAAAGCAAATTTCTCTATAATATCCTTATTTTATTAATGGCAAAACAAAAAGCAGCACTCCATGTATTTGATAAGTTTTACTTAACACGATTTAACAACATAAATCTTGTAAGGTTAATTCCGACAGAAAAGTATTCACCATACCTTAAATTGTCTGAACTAAAAATAAATTCATAATATTTAATAAATTATAAATTAAATATTGAGCCATCCGTGTAAACAAAATATTTCGCAATTCCGTTGGTTGATTAACACAAAATAGTCACGTGGGTATATGGCTTTAGGCAAAACATGATAACCATAACACTTTCTTAAATAGGAAAAAATATAGGGCACAAAAAAGTTACTGTTACGACCAGGGGAGAGACTTCATATGGCTGAGCCAATATGAGATACCAATTATTTATTAACACACAAGGCACCATAAAATACTAAAACCAATAACTCTTTATTTTGTCCCAGACGCTAACATCTCTATTTCACTTATCGACTAGTATGTTCCCAACTCACGAGAAACTAACAACCTACCAAAAGAGACCTTCTCAAATCCTTATTTTCCAACTTACGAATCTACCAAACTCAATATATATCTAAAGTTGTATAAGTCTCTATTTATATAGACTATTAGACTACAAATAAGATATAGACTATTTACAGATATGTAGTATAACGATATCAAGTCTAATTAAAGTATGCAAACTTCGCATAGACTATTAGAAGGTTACACGAATAATAAGTTTAATTGTTAATATGTTACGTCTTTTTGCGTCCATTCCTCACATATTTCATATGATCGTACTGGTATTAAAGATGCTTGACGAAACTATTTTTGAATTGACGAATGGTTTCGTCAAATGACGATACAGACGAATCGCTGAC